TTCTCCTAACAGAGAGCACGTGTTGCGGTTGGGGAACAAGCCACCCTGCCGTTACTGGGCAGATTTTGTGAGGAACCCAAGCCTTTAAGTGGTTAAAATTGGGTTGCTGGGGAGTTTTGATTGTTGCCAATTTGGAGGAGGGGTCAGAGTCTTTAAATACAGGGGCCAGACGTTGGACGTCCTCTTGGCCATTTTGCACCGGATCACATGGAGCGCTTGGACAATCTTCTCATTGTCTGGTTACATTTCTTTATTTCTTTATTTCCCCTTTCTTTTAATCCTCTCTAGTCCCTTAAATAATTTAATTCCCCCCTTTTCCTGTTCGATTTCCCACCCCACCCCTTACCCTGCCCTGTGGGAAGATTCTCCCTGTAACTGTGGCTTGCCTTTCCCAATACGGAGAGAGCCCCCGTTAGGGGCTTTCTTTCGCAAAAAGGTTTGCCCCATTTCTCTTGTTGAAATTGTGGGGCTAATCAGGGCTGTTCCCAGCTTAGCTGGAATCACTTTCGTTTATAGTATCCCCGAAGGTTGGCTTTATTTTGAGTGTGTGCAGTGCTGTTGGCCAAATTTTAAGCTAGCCTTGGGTGGGAGCACTAATTTGAGTTCCTTTAATATTGCTATGAGACTAAGATTCTCAAGAGCAGAAGCAGGGAGGCCTATTCGGCCTGCACATAACTTCCAAGCCTAAGTCTGCTACAGGTAGCAGTTAATTGTTAAGTCTCTGACACGTGACTCATTCTCGCTATAGGAATGTATCTGCTTGCAGGCCCAGTTGCTGCTAATGTATATCTGAGGCAGACAGAGGGCCCCAGAGGCTCCCTGTGCCTCCAAGGACTATGAGCACTCTGTATATGCTCTTGAACTATGCTGTTTCTGAACAAGTTTATTTTCTTTAAGTTTGTTTTGCCCTGATAGTGGCGACTGCCATTTTAGAGATGAGCCATTGTGGCTTAGTGGCTAAAGTGTAGGACTAGGACCTGGGAGACAGGGTTCATATCCCCCTCTTAGCCATTGTTATAACAAAACAAAACAAACTGCTCCTTTTGGGCTATTCTGTTGCTGGGTAGTTAGGCCCATTTGTGATAAAAGAACTTTGGGTTTCTTGAAAGGGTGCTTCCCTCTAAAAGGGCAAGCAGGGGTACCTGGACAAGCTGTGGGCTACCTCAACTCTGCTATTTCACTGGAAACATTTATGCCTGGCCTAGCAGGTGATCCTAGGGCTTTGCCCTAGAATTCAATGGCCTGGAAGCGTTTCCGGCCTGAATAGTGTCCCCATGTGGTCCATGAAGCATTGGTTTCACTGGGTCAGCGCATAGTGCTGGTAATGCCTGGGTTGCAGGATTGGTCCCTGTATGGGACAGCTGCATGCCCCCCATTGCTCTACCTGGACACTTAAGTCCTTTCGGTGGTTACCTCACTGCGAGGGATGTAACGGGCGCCACGTTTGCAATATGCAAGCGGGAGAAAGCACCTTTGCGTGCCCGCATTGCAGTTTGTGTGTTGCAGGGCACGGCGCTGCACGGGCTGCAAATGCATTGCATTGCATGAGAGATTTGCAGTTGCATTGCACGGAGCGTGTGTGCATTGCATGGAGGGTGTGTGTGCATTGCACGGAGGGTGTAGTTGCATTGCACGGAGTGTGTTGTTGCATTGTACGGAAGGTGTGGTTGCATTGCACGGAGTGTGTGTGCATTGCACGGAGTGTGTGTGTATGCATTGCATGGAGGGTGTAGTTGCATTGCACAGAGTGTGTTTTTTGCATTGCACGGAGTGTGTGTGCATTGAACGGAGGGTGTAGTTGCATTGCATGGAGTGTGTAGTTGCATTGCACGGAGTGTGTAGTTGCATTGCATGGAGTGTAGTTGCATTGCATGGAGTGTGTTTTGCATTGAACGGAGTGTGTAGTTGCATTGAACGGAGGGTGTGTGCATTGCCCGGAGTGTGTAGTTGCATTGAACGGAGTGTGTAGTTGCATTGCATGGAGTGTGTGTGCATTGCACGGAGTGTGTAGTTGCATTGCACGGAGTGTGTAGTTGCATTGCACGGAGTGTGTAGTTGCATTGCATGGAGTGTGTGTGCACTGCATGGAGTGTGTTTTTGCATTGCACAGAGTGTGTGTCTGAAAAGGAAGCTGGCTCGGCGGCAGCTTTGTCGGGACTTCTTTAAGGGTTCTGGCCAGCCTCGGCCCTGTAAATTTACATATCATGATGGCAGCACAAGATGCCCCCTGCCCAAGCGGGGGCTGGAAGCTGGCAAGCAATAGCTCAATACCTTTTGCCCATATTCCCATTTTATTTAGGGATCCAGTTGGATATCGTTGCTAAAACATACCACTTGCCTATGGAGAAGCTGTCTGCCTTGAAGGAAGTTATTTTGTAATACTTCCTCTGTAGCAAGTGATGCTTCATCAGATCCGATCTTGCTGGGTCTCTTAATTAATCTTCCCACTAGGCCAGGCTGCCTGCGGCCTGAGGTCCCCTTACCTTTGTGTACGCCTACCAAGTGTGGTGAAGGCAGATATCAGGCGATGGTAGCAATTCCTGAATGTATGCAATAGTAGAATCATAGAATCATAGAATCACAGAGTTGGAAGAGACCACAAGGGCCATCGAGTCCAACCCCCTGCCAAGCAGGAAACACCATCAGAGCACTCCTGACATATGGTTGTCAAGCCTCTGCTTAAAGACCTCCAAAGAAGGAGACTCCACCACACTCCTTGGCAGCAAATTCCACTGTCGAACAGCTCTTACTGTCAGGAAGTTCTTCCTAATGTTTAGGTGGAATCTTCTTTCTTGTAGTTTGGATCCATTGCTCCGTGTCCGCTTCTCTGGAGTTCGCCATGGCAGGATACCTTGAACCCGCACAGGGATTTTCAGGTTCATGCTGGTGCTGCTGGATCTTTGCCCTTTGGTTTTTATTTCAAGGGATGCTGGTGTGCAAAGCTATGGCCTCAAGCCCGGTGTGGTGAGGCAATCATGTGACATAACTTTTCTTGAGTTTTCCCCATTGTAGTAGCAGTTCACATGTGGCCCGAGGAGTTCAGTGACCATTGGATCTGCTTTTGGTCTGATAACCAGGTAGTGGTGAGCGTCTTAGCAAAACAGTCCTCACGCTCTAGCACAGTCTCCGCCCCTCCGTTCATGCTTTCGAGCTGCGCCGCTTAAGGTTTAATATTGTGCTTTCTACTCTCCAAATTACAGGATCCTCTAATGATGTCGCTGACACTCTATCCCATTTTCAGATGAAGTGCTTCAGATCCTGGGCTCCAGACTCAGCTATTGCCAGACTTTTCCAGACCACCTGTGGCATTTTGACAACAATTAGTAATTACAGAGAGCAGCAGCTTCCATTTCCCCTTCTGCTTTTAGCTCTTATGAGAAGGCCTGGATGGATTTCTTAGCCTTAAGCTGGCAGTCCTCGGCCATTCAGATGAACTGGCCCCCATCCTCTGAGCAGATCCGCAGTATTTGGTCCACCTGCTGCAGATTGGGCGTGCGTTATAACTATCAGAATTCAGTCCGCTGCAATGTCTGTTACACTGAAGCTTTATTTTTCAGAGACCCTTGTATAAAGTTTGTAGTGCGCATGGCCTTGGAAGGTTGGAATAGGCTCCAACCTCATAGGACAGTGGGCAGGAAGCCGGTCAATTTTTACTTATGCAGTATCTGCAACAAGTTAAAACTTGTCTGCTGGTTAAAGATCAAGGCGAGACTCCTTTCAGTAGTCCATTGCATTTTCGCACTGAGGCTTGGGAAAATGGTTGTTGGAGCCAGCATGGGGCTGAGAGTCTGGAGGCTTATTGCTTCAGGACTTTTCCTTATCCTTTGGAGCTTGTCATTAGAGTTGGGAACTCTAAAACAGACTTAGTGGGCAGGAGTGCCACAATCAGGCTTCCCGCCACAGGTGAGGAGGGCCCTTGCCCGGTTATGGATAACAGAATATTTGGCTTTTCATTCCCTGGGGGCTGGCCCGCTCCTAGTGCATGAAAATGGGTTCCCGTTAGCCAGGCATCAATGTGCTTACGTCGTGCACCAGTTATTACGGCCTGCGGCTTGCTTACCGCTGAACACGCCTCATTCCTTACGATTGGGTGCTGCTGCAAAGGCTGCACACTGGGGGCCTGTCAGTAGACAGGATTGTGAATACGGGTCATTGGAAGTCTGACGCTGACAAGGGTTATATCAGGAAGTGTCACAATGATGTCTGTGCTGATGCTTGTCTGTTATTTCCTTTTTCATAGGAGCAGCTGTGCACATTTGGGCCACAGCATTGTACACTAGGCTGGCAAGCAGGTTGACGAGTTTGGACTGGGGCGCCATCTCAGTCTTCCTGCCCATGTGAACATATACTGGATGTCCAGATGGGAATGCTTTGGGAGGAGATCCTTCCTTTGGTGCGGTCGAGTGTGACCTGTGCAGGTCCTCCCGCAGTGCTGGTGGTACAGCTGGGCGAGAATGTTTGCTGTCTTCCTCCAGCATAAGTTTGCATTCCTGCATGCAAGAGGGCTTGGATTGAGTTGATGGCAGCTCTCCCAGGACTCAAAATAATTTAAGGCATTGGTTCAAGGTGGTCTGGAGGGGAAGTTGGAGCACCTGTCCCCTCCAATGCGCAAAGATATTCCATTAAGGGAATCCAAGGATTCACCATGCTTTTGTCGACCCCTTTCGAGGGGTAGGGGCACGCAAGAGTCCCTGGGAGCATTTGGGGGTGAGCTTGAGTCTGATCCTGGTTCATTGCTCCCCCACGCTGTTTACTGGTACTGACGATATGGTGGGGCCCAGTCGTCAGTGCTGCCCTGCTGAGGTCAGGTGCAGCCAGTCAGGAACCAATGCCTAGACAAACTACCACCGAGCAGGCCAGAAAGCATGTTAATAAGGCGGTGGACAATAGAATAAAATAAATAAAGTAAATAAAATAAAATAACAAATAAAATAAAATAGGTCCTTGCTTTAGGTGGTTCTGTAATATTGCACCCTGCTATTTTTCTTCAAGGCTGTTGCTCTCTTTAGGGCAGATGGGGTGCATCTTTCCCCTGTGTGGAACGACACCTGGCGGGATGCGATTGCCTTGGGATTCATTGCTCCCCATCTATGTTTGCTGGTACTGACGATATGGTGGGGCCCAGTCGTCAGTGCTGCCCTGCTGAGGTCAGGTGCAGCTAGTCAGGAACCAATGCCTAGACAAACTACCACCGAGAAGGCCGGAAAGCGTGTTAATAAGGCAGTGGAAATAAAATACAGGTCATTGGAAATCGAATGCATTCAAAGGTTATGTTCGTTAACATTATTGGTGTCTTACAATTTTTGCTTGTTTTATCTTAGGTTTAGCAGCTGTCCGCATCTGGATGGTGGGGCACAGCATCAGTGCACGGCAGTCCGGTTTGGGACCGGGTCTCGGCCTTCCTCCACATGTGCAGTTGCTTTGGCTGTCCAGACGGGGAATGCGCCAGCCAGAATTCCTGCCGCTGATTCGGAGGCAGGTGCTGCTGGAAGGGCCGCCCACTGCTGTTGGGGTGCAGCTGGGTGAGAACGACCTGGTTTCCATGGACTGTTTTTTCACTACGTGCTGCAATTTTGGGTGACCTGGAGAAGCTGCGGGCAGTGGTGCCGACAGCAAAAATATTTTGGTCAAAGCTTTTGCAACGACGTGTTTGGAAGGGTAGTCGTTGCCCAGCTGCCACTGAAAGGGCCAGGAAGCGCATCAATTCTGCTGTGTCTAAAAAGATTTTTGAGCTGGGTGGAGATGTGATTTCCCATCCTGAGATTCTTTTTCAGGCTGCATCCTTTTTCAGAGCTGATGGCGCGCATCTTTCTGCCTCAGGGAATGAGGCTTGGCTGGGTGCAGTGGTGGCCAAGCTGAGGGCTTGGTTGGGTCTGTGAGTGGTTTGGCGGTGAGCTGTGGGCTCCATGGCGGTTAGGCATTGGTTAAATTGGTGCTTGGAGGGGTAAGTGCCTATCCCTCCAAATGATGCGGAAAGGGAATTCCGTTAAAGGAATCCAGGGGCTTGCCATTCTTTTCGTCCTTGTCCCTGGAATCGGACTTGGGCCGTGCAAGCCCCACAGGAACATGAGGGTGAGAAGTGAGGGACTGATACCCAGCTTCATTTTCTCACCCAATACTTGTTTCCCACGCTGGCTTCCGTTGGTGTCCGGAAGGCCAGCTCTGTCCCTGAGGGCAAGGACAGATAGTCATAACCAATGCCTAAGCAACCACTCACATTTTTTGTATTTTGAATAAAGTTGTGGCCAAAATTATGCCAAAAACCTTAAACAAAAATTGATGTGTGAAGTGTGAATTTTTTGGGGGGTGGCATTGTGGGACTCAACACGCAAAGCGTGTTCTCCCTAACAGAGAGCACGTGTTGCGGTTGGGGAACAAGCCACCCTGCCGTTACTGGGCAGATTTTGTGAGGAACCCAAGCCTTTAAGTGGTTAAAATTGGGTTGCTGGGGAGTTTTGATTGTTGCCAATTTGGAGGAGGGGTCAGAGTCTTTAAATACAGGGGCCAGACGTTGGACGTCCTCTTGGCCATTTTGCACCGGATCACCCGCCCTCCCTCCCTTTAATAGGGTGGTTTTTTCTTGATCGCTTGACCTTGCTATGCCTGTCATGGGGTCGTCCGCCTTGGAGCGGGGGCCTGGTAGGAATTTTGCCATCTGGCTGATTGGCTGGTGCCATTTGGTTTTTGCCTACTGCGTAGCAAATCGTCACAACTTGTAAGGTTGGCGGTTAGGCATTGGTTAAATTGGTGCTTGGAGGGGTAAGTGCCTATCCCTCCAAATGATGCGGAAAGGGAATTCCGTTAAAGGAATCCAGGGGCTTGCCATTCTTTTCGTCCTTGTCCCTGGAATCGGACTTGGGCCGTGCAAGCCCCACAGGAACATGAGGGTGAGAAGTGAGGGACTGATACCCAGCTTCATTTTCTCACCCAATACTTGTTTCCCACGCTGGCTTCCGCTGGTGTCCGGAAGGCCAGCTCTGTCCCTGAGGGCAAGGACAGATAGTCATAACCAATGCCTAAGCAACCACTCACATTTTTTGTATTTTGAATAAAGTTGTGGCCAAAATTATGCCAAAAACCTTAAACAAAAATTGATGTGTGAAGTGTGAATTTTTTGGGGGGTGGCATTGTGGGACTCAACACGCAATTGGAACCAGCAGTTCCAACTGTTATGTCAGTTTGACACTGACATGCAAAACACAAACCAGGAGTAAACTTCATATATTTAGCACCATCCAGAAATGAAGAAGGGCATGTCTATGTGACCTGACTACAACATTCTTTGCTGCTTCAAATACTGTTGAAGCCACTAGTCACATGTCCAGACTGAACCTTTGGAATGCAATTCTAGCTTATCGACTGAAATATTTAGGAGGAGTGGAATAATAACACCACACGCTTACACATCGACAGTAACGAGAAAGCAGAGGCATTAAGGTGAATGAAAAAGTCAAAAGGACCCATTTCACATTTGGCACGCGTAATAATTTGGCCCTGCGAATAAGAGTCTAGGTATTTTTCTTCAGCATCCTAAGATCTGAAATGAAAAAGGCACCAGGATGTTCATAGTTTCCTTCTGCTCTCCCATTTTGCCTCTGGCAACACTCACTTTGGACTCTTGACACATTGTCCATGACATGCAGTCCCTAAAATGCTGCTCACAAGAGCCTGTGGGTCTCAGGCTGGAGAAGAAGAAGAAGAAGAAGAAGAAGAAGAAGAAGAAGAAGAAGAGGAGTAGGAGGAGTAGTAGTTTGGATATGATATCCCACTTTATCACTACCCGAAGGAGTCTCAAAGCGGCTAACATTCTCCTTTCCCTTCCTCCCCCACAACAAACACTCTGTGAGGTGAGTGGGGCTGAGAGACTTCAAAGAAGTGTGACTAGCCCAAGGTCACCCAGCAGCTGCATATGGAGGAGCAGGAACGTGAACCCAGTTCCCCAGATTATGAGTCTACCGCTCTTAACCACTACACCACACTGGCTCTCCGCATTATGGCTCAGCAAACAGAACCATGAGTGCCAAATTCCCCTGCTGAATGCCACTAGTCTTCCAAGTTACCAGCTCTAGAAAACATTTCCCAAACTGGTATCCTCCAGAGTTTTTGACTATAGCTCCCATCAGCCACAGCCATTATGGCAAAGTGGTAGGGATGATGGACATCTGCAAGGCTGCCAGTTCTGAGCAAAGGAAATGAACACCATTGTGTTCTTGCTTTAAAGGATACAGATTGAAGTGCCTGCTCATTACCACTCACTCACTACTTAGAGGGACCCTCTCAGGAAACTGGTCACTTAACAAGGCCATGTACAGACAGACAGAGAGATAGAGAACAGGACAGAACAATATACGAACATTAAACGGCAAAGGAATGTCTTTCCGTAAACGAAAGCTTTTACCTAACATCCTGCAGGCTCTTAAAAATATACCTTCCATTAAAGTGAGATTAGTTCCTATAGATGCAACGTGCCACTGAATATGTATAGCATTTATTTATGTGATTTAGAGATATTAAGAGCCTGTCAGAATCAAATCAATCCTCCAGTAAGTAAAGTACATCAGTGATTGCCAGTTGATGAAACTAATATGGATTTTTTTTAATGGCGGGAAAAAATGGAGGGGAAAAAACCCATCATTACCATTTACCTTGAATTATTCAAGGAATACATTATTGATTATAGGTTCTGTATGAATGAAGAAACAGGATCAGAGCTGAAAAGTGACTTATGGGTGTTTCTTTTTTAAATAAATAAATAAAAAGTAGCTGTGTGTTTTTGTAGGTAAGAAAGGCACTTTGCCTATGAAGGGAATACATTAAGATCTTCCCTTGGTAAGGAAGGAGAGAGGATGCCATTAGTGATCCCATCTCAGTAACCAGCAGTATTCAGCATCAAAGACACCACAAAACACACATAAATCTTGTCCTCTTTCCCTCTGCTTGCTTCACCCAGTTACTGCTGAATCAAGCTCTGGGTACCATTTCTGAATTTCCACATCCTGTTTGGTCTAAATGAGGAAATTACAATAGTATTGTAATGCGACACATACATGACCATATTATCCTATGACACCACTAGCCATTTCACTCACGGTCAACAGTTGTCTCTCATACTAAATTTTCTTGAAATAAAACTATACATTATTTTATACATGTCATCAGATTTATTTATTTATTATTTATTTTTTTGCAAATGACAGTAAGCACTATTTTGCAGTAAACACAACTCTGGAGCGCCTTCAATGATCTTTCCACTATTAAACCTTTTAAAAAGTCCACATGGCAATCCACATGTGCCTTGCCAGAAACTGCCATATTGACAAACATAATGTTGCACAGAGCATATACTGAGTCAGATTATAATATTGACATTTTCCCTAGAACACATTTCTGAGGCTTAGGAGAATGACATGCAAACTGCTACTTGGAAGATTAAAGGTATATTGATTTAATATTTAGACATAATTACAAAAGCCTCTTGTTCTCAAATTCTGAAAACATTTTCAAAGCTCCTCTTGTTCTTCTTGCATAAATGCAAACCCAATGGGAATGTTGATACCACTTGCTGCAATCTTATATTTCAGACGATATTAAGACTATTTGCCTTGATGAAGGCAAGCTGTCCTGCGCTGGTCAGGCAGGGAGAAGAAACCACCAGGTGCCAAGCAAGGCCTGAAAGAGCATAGCTGCCAACTTTTCCCTTTTCTTGCAAGGAATCCTATTCGGAATAAGGGAATTTCCCTTTAAAAAAGGGAAACGTTGACAGCTATGTGAAAGAGGCACACCTGGAATGGGAACTTTTTGTCACAGGTAAGGATAGATGGATGTGTCAATTTCAGTTCCCCAGTTTCTCATTTTTCCAGTCTTACATTCAGTTCTCCACATTCCTCCAGCAATTTGCAATAATAATAAAAAATACACATGGAAATTTGTCATGTGTTTCAGCCTAATTTTCGTCTAATAAACATGTTTGTATATAGCGTTATGTTCACATGTTTGCAAGCAAACTCACCTAATAATATACATTTTTGTATGTTATGTTGATATTTATTTATTTATTTATTTTCATGCACTCTCCCCTAATCTAAGCATTTTTGTAAACATTGTTTGGAAAACTCCATTGAACTCGGGCCCTGCTTGGGGGCTTCCCATGGGCATCTGGCTGACCACTATGAGAACAAGATGCTGGACTAGGTGGGCTACTGGCATGTCAGGAATTAGCCAGCTCCAAGTAAAGGTTTGCAGCCAACTGCAGAAAGCAGCCAGGAACAGAGAAGCTTAGATGTTAGTCAGGCAGGGGAGAGCAGGTAACTGCAGACTTCAGCTCTTCCTGACCTTTACAGGCTGTCTGATAAGGCAGTAGCTGAGAGCAGGCTAGAACAAAGCCAAAGCTCGCAGGAAGCACAAAACGGCGCAAATAGACTCAGAGGGAGTACGTCAAATCAGGAAGAGGCTGGATGTGATGGCCTGGGATTCCGATTCAGAGGCTGAACCGGAGGAATCCCAGCCTGCACAGGAGTCCCCACCTCCAGGGCCGGCTGCACTGGGGCAGGGCCTTGATTCTGAAGTGCCTGCACCTGTGCTGGATCCTCAGGAGCAGGCACCAGGTGAATCCACTCTGGCTCCGGAGGTGGTTGAGGACTCAGTGCCTACAGGTGAGTCTCCCCCTGGGTCCAGTAACCCTTCAGCCTCTCCTGAACTGCAGAGGCTCAGGGCAGAGAGGCGAAGGGAACTGGTTTCTCCCAGGAGGAGTGCTCGCCTTAAGGCCAGGAGAGGCGGGTCTCCTGGGGGCCGGGACAGCCCCTGGCCTCAGAGAAGATAAAGGCCAGTCAGCCCGGTCCCAGGTTGCGGGAGCAACGTCATCGTTGAGTACCTGCTCCTACCCGGACCCAGACCTGACCTTCCAGTGTTCCTGTTCCCCGCCCGGCTTCCTGCTTCTGACCTTCCAGTGTTCCTGTCCCCGCCTGGCTTCCTGCTTCGGACCTCGCCTCGCTCCTTGTGAACTGGTTCCAGGCTAGTGACTCAGGACTGGACTTTGACTACGACAACGGTAACCTTCCCCCCGGGACTAGCACACTGGAGCTGATCCACTAAGTCCGAGGAGTCAGCGAATGGGAGGGCTGTTAGACAAGGAGCGAAACAAGAGACGTAGGGATCATCAGTTCAATATCTTCTGTTGCAGCCGGAAGGAGTCTTCAGAAGGGTCATCTTGAGTAATGATGCCAGACGCTTTGTTCAAGTTGTCTGGAACTATCTGTTTGTTTTTGCAAGAAATCCTCCTTTTTAATTACCTACACTTACTGTGTTATCAAGCTGAGATCCTGGACTCCTGACATGGCATGACCTAGCAGGCTCTCCTTAGGTTCTTATGGCTTGGCCATTGATAGGAGCAGAGGGTGGGAGGAGGTAAGCTGACTGTTTCATGCCCTATGCATACTTGTTCAGTTGTCCTCTGACCTTAATAATTTCCATGTAATCTCAACACACACTACACTAGCAGTATCTTCCTCAGATAAGAATGAAAAGACATCTTTAAATAAAAGAAAGGAAAGAATGAAGAGAGAGAGAGAGAGAGAGAGAGAGAGAGAGAGAGAGATACCTTTTCAGTTTGCAAACATAAATTTGTGTCCAATGTTAGTCATGCTCAGAGCAGACCCACCAAAATTAATGAACATGACTAATTTAGATCCATTCATTTTACTGGGTCTGCACTGAGTAAAGCTTAGTTTGATGCAACCCATACATTGTGAAGTCACAGATCTGTACAGTGCACTAAAACTCAGTTTCTTTTTTATTACCCCCTTTTTTGTGCCTACCTGGACAGTTGCCATTCTTTAAATAGATGTTTTCCACAGTAATAAGTTAATTAGCACTCTCTCCCACTCCAGTATGACTCAAAAGTGTGGTCAAAATTTCACAGCAGTCATTAAAAAACAGCACAATAAGCCTACACCTCCTCATAACCGTACGAAAGCTTAGTTCCTGCGGACAGCATTATTAAAGAATTACATTCATTAGAGTTTATTGTTGAATCTGGAGCATATGCCAAACAAAATGAATTGGCGCTTTTGTACTAGCTTGTAAAAGCCACACTTAGGAAACTGCCAGGCAGCTCAACTAAATCCTTTTTATCAGTATGGAATTTGAGATGATG